ACGAGGGCTATCTGCCTAAAGGGAGGGATGCCTTTCGTGGAGGACTTTCTAAGGGAAACTGGCTCGTATACACGTTACACATGGGGAAAACCACGAAAACGCCCATGCAGCCAGCCCGTTCGCGGGATTCGACCTCAGACCGAACTACCAGTGTTCAGCGTCTTTACCGCTCGGCCGCTGGTGGGCCCATGATATTTTCTGCCTCATATCACTTGGTAAGTATTTTCAATTGTACATATGATAACTTATTAGTTAAAAGAATTCAAATAGCAAAAGTTCGTTTAGTAAAACAAAGTAAAACGTTTTATTTTAATTCCAACTATATGGGCCTCATCCTAAGGTACTTAATATAGAGGCCATATTGTCAAAAGATTTAATAGGGTGACAGTATTATCAAAAGATTTTCGTCTGATGTTAATGCCATATCAAAAGTCTCAGATATTCCTTCTGCCTAGAGATGCACGTCGGCCGGCATTTGTCCGTCACTATTATTAAATTTGTATCTTTCAAGCCGTAATCTTATTTTTAATGTAAATAAACTTTCCATGTTAATACACATTTTTAAAATATTCAAAATTTAATTTTTTTCTTATACGTTACTTTTAGTGGCAAATATGGTTAAAAATTACAAGTCTGCCGTAACTTTGACGAATTGGTGAGCATTGTATAATTTCGTGATGACTGGGGAGACTTACAGTATTAAAGTTCTAAGCTTATCTTCGATATTTTTTCCTTATTTCATAACTTCTGGAAGTAAATGTGAGTGTGGAGAAACAAAATGCCCTGGTCTCGCTTAGCTACTCGTATGTTCTTTTACACTGAATTTTATTATTAGAACTAATAAATTTGTTACACTAAGCATAAACTCTAACATCTTGTCCAGATTTAATATGATTTCATTGTTACGTATATTTTTTATTTTAAGTTGAAGCACACGTTGAAAATATGTAAACACATTTAAACACACACACACATTGAACGCATATTCAACATTGTATACACAGTACATATATATTGAGTTGTACACATTAAAATTTTTTCACGATTTAAATACTTTTGGCTTGTATTAATGAGCAAATATTAATCATAACTGCATTACATGGTAGTTAAAAATCAAATCAAAAATATGCTTAACGTTTTGCTATTTAATGATTTCTTAACCATATACAGCTTTAGGCAAAATTTTTGGAAATATTTAAAATGCTGCATGCGCAAATAACACTTGTCATTAAAATGTCAACTTAGTATATTTTATTGACTTATTATATTTTTCGTTTGTACAAAATTTACCTTAAAGCCAGTTTTACGATTCATCATTAGTGTGGCTTTATTGAATATATTATTAAAACTCTTCTCTGCTTATGAGAGGAACTCGCTTGAAATCCCAGTTCCTTAATTAATTTATTTAATAATTGTTTTATCTCGTATATAACAAGTTCCATTCCAAAATCCCCCATACAAGATCTAACCAGATTACATAATGAGATAACGGAATGTATTATTAAATCGTCCTTAGGATAGACCTAAACATCAGTTGATAATTCCATTAGCAGTTTCAGGTTACTAGACAAGTTTGTATTTGACAAGAAGCTGGTTCGAAACCGAAATTTAATTTAGACAGTATTTTACTGCAGTTAACAAATAGTTCATGACTACTGAGAAGCAATATCTACCGGCTACATTCATCGTATGGGACCTGTCTCAGTCTTGCATAAGCCTACGAAATATATTACATACATTAAGTCAAGCAAAATATTAATCAAGTACTTTAATTCTACAAGTAAAATATGAAGCAAATGTGTGAACTGAGATGTGAAATGCTAACCTTTCGAGATAAGATTGGGAAATCAAGAATGCAGGTTTTTTTATATGATTTCGTTAGTTTTCAGTTAAGCAACAAAGCCTTTGCTAGATTTCTGTGTCGAAATTTAATTCGTTAAAATTTAGATCTGGCTTGCCTGAACCCAAAATCTCCACTTTTCGAACTGATCACTCTCATGGCTAACAACCTGAGTCTCTTAAATTCTTCTTAATAGGATTTAACTATTTCAATTTGATGACTGTGGGTCGAAATGTATGATTTTTTTGCGCAGTCGTTTTTATTTGACTGCGTTAAATACCAGCAGGAAGTCATTTTTTCTATCTCATTGGACTCTGGCCAAAAATTGATTTTAAATTGATTGCTTGCTGTTTGTACTGCAGTATGCACGTTAGAACATATTTTGTCTTTACATTCTTTACTTTAAAGCAATAAGTGATTAACATGTAATAATCGTATTTAACAAAAGTATAAATATAGGAAATTAGTTTGGTATTCAAAAATAATTTTAATGTCACGTACTGATTGAAATTTAGGTTCGTGGTCAGGCTTTCAAAATGTAAATTTTTCAATGGTGTAATATAAAATGAAAGGAAGAGAAATCATTAACCGTGTGCGCCTTTTCCCTGCAAGCAACTACATGAAATGTCTTTCATGTAGATAGATTTTGCTTGCATCTTTGTCACATAGATTAAAATGAAATGGAAGTCAAATAATTTGGTTTTATCTGTACTCAAATTATACCATTATTCTGAGTAATAAAAAAAATGTTTCTAGCCACATATTTATTATATATCGCTAATTTGGAATATTATGAAGTTAATTATACTTTGTAACGCTGTCAGAGGAAAACTTAGTCACCAAACGTATGTTTACAATTTTTGATATTGTTAGTATTTATACGTTAAAATCATTGTAAATTTACATATATACAAACATATTTTATAATTTACATACAATTTTACATATAATCAAACATATTTACATATATGCAAGTTAACATATATGCACATTACATATATGCACTTTTCTTAAATATATCAGTATAAATAAATCTTTAATAAATCAACTGAACTACGAGACATTGATTAGAATTTATCACAAAAGTTTTGTAACTGAACATATTTATTTATTTCGGATTGTAATTGGTCATGATAATTGCAACATTACAGTAAGTTATATAATCTCAGATATGGAAACATGCTTAATACGGTCATGTATTTTACGAATTGTTCGACTAGTCATGTTTAATGTTAAACAGAGATGAGAAATTCCTCACAAAATCGGTAGTGACCTTAATTATAAACAATTGCCATTACTAAGTAAACAGCTCTTGAGCAAGATATGTAAACTCAGAAATGACCACCCATGTATTAAAACTTTAATAACAATATATGGCGGCAGCATAATTAGTTCTATAAAAAAATTCATAGAATATATCGGCAGAACCTACGAAGATACTATCGGAAATTTATTTTAATTTTTTCATCTTATCCTAATTCAGCGGTTACTCAGATTTAATTACTTATGCTCTAAATCAAATATCCATTGTTAATATCAGTCTTCAAGGTGCAGTTAAACGCAAAATGATTTTTTTTCCTTATTTAGTTTTGTTTTTTTACTCAAAATATCACCTTTTTACTTCCTTGTACGAAGAACACGTAAGTTATTTATCTTTCCAATTCAATCAACAAACCTGGCTATTTATAATCAACATCTCTTCATTGCTGGAAACAAAATACTTTTATCTTCCACGCCGCAGTGTGTTGCCATTTGGCAGAGCATCAGGTATATATTTAATCCACCTGTTGTAGACTCTAATGGGTGTTCGTCACAGCCAAAAATACAAAAAATTGGCAATGCTTTCGTCGTGATTCAAACTCGGGACCTCCCAACTGCTAGCCGGACATGCTCGAAATTAAACCACAAAGGTAAGTAATAAAGAAAGAGAAAATTTCTTACGCGCGTGTTGGTAAATAAACTAAGCATTTTAAAAGCAATAAACACAGTTATTAACAGTAATTTTTAATCTGATTAATTTAAGTAAAAATGCGTTTGATTCTCTTGCTTAACTGGATTCGTGCTAGTAACTCATATGGAAAGTCTTAAGTATTCTTCATTTTATTTCATCCAATCTATGCTATATATTGTGTTATTATCACTTTAAGATCCTTCCTTGATTTTGTTTTTGAAGTTCTTTTAGGAAGAGTCGCCGTTCATAAATAGAAGAAAATAATGAATTTTACTGTAGAAATAATATGTGTGACATAACTGCTACAGAATTGCTGTTGTATCCTCTATCATCAAATTCTTGAGTGAAAAGAAAGCAAAACAAAATAAAATATTTGATATTTCAGCTACTACGAATCCTCCAGTATACTACACTGAAAATTTCTAAGAGATCTGATGGAAAGAAACAAGCCATATTTCATTTCCTATATATTTAATTGTTAAATAATAACATGCTTTTATGCACTGACAATAAAATGCTGTAGACTATTCCAGGCCTTTTCGAAGCATAATTAAAAGTAATGAATTGTTTTAAATAAATCGTACAATGAGTTGTAGTATCCACTACAGCATCTTAAGTCGAGAACAGTGGTTCTCAACCTTTTTGCCTTCCGCACCTCTTTCACCATTGCTAGATGATCATCCCTCCCCTCCTTTCCGAAGTTCGAAAACCACGTATACATTTATTTAAATTTGCTTATTTTTATGTGTTCAATAAATTAAAGAAGAAAAATCATAGATAATATTGATAAATTCCGAAACTTGAATGAAAGTAGCTTTTACATTCATAAACTAAATCTAAATATTTAACAGGTAAATAAAAGGCTGACTGCATTCTCCCCCAACCCCTGAAATTATGAAATTCCTCCAGGGTATAATTTCCGTCTGGTTGAGAACTCCTAGTCTAGAATACTTATATGCAGTTAATACTTTTTACTGCATCTTAAGTGTAGAATCAGTGACCTAGAACGGCTGATTAAATTAGCTGAATCAAACAGCAATATTTTTAATTTAGTATTAAAATCGTTAAATATTTTTTATGAAATTATACTAACTGGACTCATTAAAATCATTAATTTTTCCTTTTTATAATAACTAGTTTGTGCGGCTAGCGACTATCATAAATAAAAATTGTTCTGTAAACTTAGCATTTATCTCTTTATTTCTGCAGCAAATTCTTGACGAAGAAGTCAGTATCTATAGCCGAGTACAGTGTCACAACAGTGGACCTCAGCCGCGCATTCTTATAGATAAGTGAAAAGTAAGCATTTTTTGTAACTTTTAATTGAAAATACTATTACGAATTTTGTAAAATTATATGTAATTTGTAGTATCTCTTGCATAATGTAACATGAAAGGCCTCGAAAGTGCGAAGCATCGCCGGAAAATCACGGATACAGGGATACGTCTATTTATCATCGAGATAAATGGCTATGTCGACGAACTGGCGAGATAGCGCCAAGCTGGCGATGGTTTCGGCGACTAATTTTTCGAAAAGAAATGACCAAAGGTCACCAAACTCGGCTACCATTTGACAACCTTTTCGTCCTATTCCTGTGTAACTGTAACTGCTTGAATTTCTATGTAAGTGTAATTGTACATGCCTTCCAACAGTTTCGAGAATTCGAAAGAGCTAGAAAATTCTCTGCGGACGGAGAAAACTCTGTTTTCAGTTTAGTTCAGAGTACTGAGATTATGGAGAGATCGCTCTGCGAGCTCACGCATTTGAGGCTTTTGTATTGCCATGTGTTTAACCTTTTAGTTTAGTGTTTTAAGTGGTAATACTGATTGTGCTCTGTCATACTGATAAGAGCTGTACGAGTACTTTGTGAAAATTTCAGAGCTGTAAGTGTTTCTTTTGAGAAAATGAATTTCATCAAGCTATCATCGGTTATGCGTTCATTCAATTCATTACGAACCCATACGCATGTGATAATATCAAGCATGGTTTTTACAAAATATTTGAAATTAACGAAACTAAAAATTAAAACTAAACTCAGTGGCGTAACAGCCTAATGGGCCAAGGCATGGAGTGCCCAAAATCTGCTTTCTTGACCGTGGGCCCTGGGGTGCGTAAGGCATATGCCCTGAACAAGTGGTAAGCTTGCCGCAAGACCCCCAGTATTTAGTCCCCAAACAAACTTGGTACTCATTTTATCGACCCAAGGCATGAAAGGCTGAGTCGACCTTGCCTATCCAGGAATCGAACCCCGGACCAGTGGTGCTGCTGCACGATACGCTAGCCACTGCGCCACCGGGCCTCAGAAATTTACTACCTTTGTTTCATATATAACCAAAATTTAAAATTAGTACAAAGAAAGCACGGTCGCGGACACTTAGCTGACAACCACTTAGCCGACGGGACACTTAACCGACAGGTCATTTAGCCGACACGGACACTTCGCCGACAGGACATTTAGCCGACACGGACAGTTAGCCGACAAGACATTTAGCCGACACGGACAGTTAGCCGACAGGACATTTAGCCGACACACACATGTAGGTATCCAGCCATTGCCTTAACTCGTATATAGCAAGTGAAATTACTGAGCATAACCTTTTTCTGTGCTAGCACTAAGTTCAGGAGATTTGAATGCGAAGCATTCAGATACCATTTTATCGAAGTAGGAGGTGATGAGCAATTATATTCGTAGGGAGCAATTATAGTGATTTGGGAGATACTGTTGATAACTTGCTTGTAGGAATATCGTGGAAGAATCTGCAGTGAGGTGAGATCATTCATTTCGCGTTACGAAGCGCAGTTACTGGAGAGACATCGTAGGCTAGACTGAATTGGCTGCTGTCATCAGCGTAGTAGGTAGACCGTTCTGAAAAATCTGAATAATGCAATAAAAGTTATTGTTATGAAAAACGATCTGTAGTTTAGTTAGGTATTCAGTAACTGTGCGGTAGTGGTCTGAGTCATAAACTCTTATGGTCAGTGTACCTCCACTTAGATTTCCAGGATATTTTTTGATATTTAATTGCTCTTCAAAATCTTCTTTCATCTTATTCCTAATTCCGCCGTGAATGTCTGCTAACACTATACAGGTGGAAATGTGTCCTGCTTTTTTGTTTGGTTGTAATAAATTCACCTTCCTCTGCTTCCATATTGTCTTCAGGGTTTAGTTTCCTCGAATTTACTTTTTTGAGCTGGTTTTTCTATTTCGGAATTTGATAGAGTTGTCTTATGAGTTATTTCTAAGGGTTATGTATCCTTCTTTATCTATTGTGGTTTTCTTTTTGATTCTAGATTTGACTAGCAGTGACTACAGTAATATCATCAGATTTATTTGTTTCCTGTGTTGGATTATTTAGGGTTTCTTTTTGTTTCATTTCATTAATGTATAATTCTAAGATTTGTATCCTTTTCCATAGCATTGACGTGAGCTAAGTGAACTTCAGTCTCATATATTTGGATTTAAATGAATTTTGATAAGCATGAAGCTCAGAAAGCATAAGTTGCTTAAGTTTTTTTCTAAGCTATCGCTGGTAACTTCCAGATTTCTGTGATTACACACAGATTTGATACGGTTTTCGATCGCCTCCATGTCCATGATATGCATGAATCCTAACTTTTAATGTAATGGCAATAAAAGAATAATGAAAACATACTTATCATGAACATCAAGAAGAGACGACAGCAACTCAGGATCAGCTTCAGCAGTGAGAGCAATGTCTTTTTCTCCCTTTTCTTCACAAAATCGCAGGAATAAAGCAATCGCCGTACACAGAAAGAACAATTTCTCTAATCTCAACAGCAACACCTCATGCCGACGTACTTCCAACTCTCGTCTGCACAAAATTTATGAGTTTTGAGGATGGTGGCATGAACTGCTAATTATAGAGGTCACAAATAATTACCATTCACTTTTTTTAATTGTTTTTAATAACAAAATAAAATATATTTGCTAAACTAACCCTCACTGCCATATGTTTCCATAAAAAAAGTATAATTCAAGAATGACAGTAATTTTTATTGCATTATTCAGATTTTTCATGACAAGGAAAGGAAATTTCATTAGTGGGAGCAGCCAAATGATTTTTTAAGGGAAGGAATGTAACACGATGTGATGAGCAAATGTGAAAGTTGATTAAATAACAGAAGCTTTACGGATAATTTTTGAAGATCTCATATTAAAATGTAATTAAGTGACCGCTGTACTTACCTAAAAAAATTCTTTTTCCTTTCGAAATTTAATTCACATTCCCTAACGAGAAATTTCAGCGCTTTTTCAATTTGTCCAATATACAAGCAGCGCGATACATATCAAACAATGCTAAATTAACGCAATAAATTAAAAGCACGTATGAGATCTTCAAGAATCGAAAACTGAATTTTACTGATAGGTGAAAAAAATAACTTAGATATTGAACTTATGGAGAAGTCGAGATATTTTGTAATTGATTGTAAATTTAAATAATTATTGGGTACGCGTCAGCTAAACATCACTGTCGGCTTATTGTCCTGTTGACAAAATGTCTTGACAGTTAACTGTCCCGTAGCTAAATGCCCTGACGGCGAATTCTGTGTGTCGGCTAAATGTCCTGTCGGCTAACTGTCCGTGTCGGCTAAATGACCTGTCGGCTAAGTGTCCTTGTCGGCTAAATGTCCTGTCGGCTAAGTGTCCGTGTCGCTTAAATGTCCTGTCGGCTAACTGTCCGTGTCGGCTAAATGACCTGTCGCCTAAATATCCTGTCGGCTAACTGTTCGTGTCGGCTAAATGTCCTGTCGGTTAACTGTCCATGTCGGCTAACTGTCCGTGTCGGCTAAATGACATGTCAGCTAAGTGTCCTTGTCGGCTAAATGTCCTGTCGGCTAAGTGTCCCTGTCGGCTACGTGTCCGTGTCGGCTACAGGTCCTGTCGGCTAACTGGTGTCGGTTAAGTGGTGTCGGTTAAGTCCCGTCGGCTAAGTGGTTTTCGGCTGAGTGTCACGGACCCAAGAAAGCAACCTTAGTTTGACACAGATTTTGAATATAATTCTATCGATTCCAAAGGTAATCAAATATAAATCTCTCTTGTGCTGGAGTAAAATTTTGCAAATGTGAGAAGAGCAAACACTGTATCTATGTAGAAATCAATGGTCGTCACAGCGGCGAAATCGAATTTAGGAAAACCCACATTAGGTGAAATACTAAAAATCCTTAAGAATTACTTTCAGAAATAGGTTACTTAAGAATCGAACAGAGAATTTTACTGATGAGTGAGAAAATGAGCTTGTGAAGAATTTAAGCAATTTTGCCATTGATCAAAAGATAAAATGGGATGTCAGCAGCCTCCGGATTAATACTGTTATGTAATTTTTATCTTAAGAACCGAAAGCGCTTTTATAAATTTGAACCTAATTTGTTTACTTAACTTTTTCAATTTGCTTGTTTTTTATAAATACAACAGTAACTGTCGTCGTACTGCTAATATCAGGACAAGGATTTACTCCAGCGACTTTGTATTCTGTTCCTTAGACATAGCATCTTTTTATTGTGATTTTCACGCAAAGAGTATCCTACGAAAATTACGACGTTTCTTTGAATTATTAATAAAAATAAACCAGAAAATATTTTATGAAAATTAAATATATCGGATTACTTAAATCTAGCTAATGTGAACCCAAAACAGCTTGGAACTGCGTTAAAGGGATAAAATTTGTAGCGTTATGCAAAATAATGCATACTGATAATACTGTTGCGAAATGTACAGCGGCGCTAAGATGGCTTCTCCGCAAAGCAGTTTTAGGGTTACCATAAAATGGCAAAAGAATGCAATTTTGCCATATTTGGCGAAGAATCGCCCATTTGGCGACAAACTTAGCAATATACCATGGACGGATGGAGAACCTTCTGGAACGAATTCTTATCAGTTTAGCGCAGAATGTTCTCGAACACAAGCCGAAAGCTATATAAACCCTGCTGGTCCGCAGTCAGTTAATGTGGGCCTCGTCTAGCGAGCTGATAGTCAGTCATAGCTGATAGACAGTGTGAAGGCTGTGTCGCTGAACGTGTCAGCGTGTTTATAACAGTTCGACGACTGTAAAAGTGATTTTGGAGCTATCTGATTAATATTGGTAAATAAAGTGTGTTTCGATACTTCATCGTCGTCGTTATGCACTTCAAATCAACGAACTCCGTACGAACGAGAAGGAAGAATAAAACGTAACAATACTATTAATATAAAATTTTGCATATAAAATTTATTCGGTACGTTCTTATTGTTACGGCCCCTCGTTGTGTAAACTGCGCCAATATCATCGGTAAATCGCCATCATAAAATTTTTCACAGTTTTAACTACAATCATTTATGGCTTGCTTGTAATGATTAGAGCTCTGAATTAACCGAGAAATGAAGATGCTGTGTCTCCCTTCCGAGAAAGATACATTCTTCTCGCATTCGAATATGCAAATATGAATTTTAAATAAAACTAGTCATGAATAAAATCCTTTGGTGACGCCACATGAAATCTGCAAGTTTCGACACCTGGTTTGGTGATTCCAGACTATTGTTTGTAACAGCGCTGAAATTTATTTAGTGTTAAGCGGTAGGAGAAGCAATTTACTTTCTATGAAAATGCAACAATTGACTAAAACAGATTTATTAGAGAGGTGTATTCTCTATATCTAATCCGACAAACAAATAACAGAATAGGTGCATCTGAAAAAACTGTGAACATAAACGAAATTCTCTTCGTATCGAAAGAAAGTCATTAGGGCGCTTTCACAATTCCACAGTATTTGACGGGTTCCGCCAAGAAATTAGTGAATTCTTCTGTGCAGGCAACCAACAACCATGGCAAAAAGTGTCTGCGATGTACAAGAGGAATAGATGATTTGTTCAGATTGTTGGCGAGCATATAAAATAGAACTAGAAAAAAGCAGGTTAGAGACATTTTACTGTGAACCATAAATTTCACTTTGTTGATCCAGCAACAGCTGCTCCTACACAAAAAGTTGAAAGATGACAGAGTTTCCTGGTTGACATTTATCCCACCAAGTGGCGGAATAAAAAATCAACCAAGCACTGTTGGCTATAAATTGTGAGTTTTAACTTGCGGCGTTAATGTGCTGAAAGTCTTTGAAGAGAAAATGCTTCTGAGGCCATATTAAAAGTAATTCAGGAAACGTAGCAACGGAAATACCGAAAGTATTTATATATTTTTAGAACAACCTTGTAAAAGAATTTTTTAAAAAGCAAATAATTTGGGAAAAAAACTTTCTGGCAACAACAATTATTTGAAATTAGAAATATTCTACTTTAAATTTATTTCTTTTTTTTTTTTTTCAAAATGCCATATGTAAATAAGCTGTGTATTGAAAGATATGTTTTTCAGCTATCCGATGAGAAATATTCCCATTCCTTAATTCAAAAACGCTTTCAAATGCATGTTATTAAAATTTCTAAGTGAACAACATTATTATTCGTCATTCATTGACAGATCAGATAAATTAATGTTTGACGGTTCTTCCTTCAATCATTACTTCTGCATAAAAAAAGACTCCAAATGAATATTCGAAAAGGGTACATACTTTTTCTAATGTTTCTAAAGTTAAATCGTTGTAACAAGAGAAAAATCTGCCGATGCAGAAATCAACTGTAAAGTCTTTTAATACATCTGTAGTAACAATAAATAAAATAGTAAACCAAGCTTTAGAACTTAAAAATGCTAAAAAACACACTGTTCACCAGCTTTTGCCAAGGCATGTGGCTCAACGTAGAACAATTTGTAAAAACCAGTATGAAAACTATTTAACAGAAGGTAAATGTAAATATATTGGGACCGTTAATGAAGCATGACTTTTATCTAAACCACTGCAATAAAAAAATATCTATTTATAACCAAAACCGAAGGGGTAAAGTGTACAAATCTCGTTCTCTTAGTGCAAAGAAAGTTTCAGTAAGAGGTTTCAGTTTATGACTCTCACAAATAATTTGGAAATTTGTTGTTGCCATAAAGTTTTATTCCAAATTGTTTGTTTGGAAATCAAAAATATGAAGAGTGGGAAAAAATCTTAACGTATCAACTGAACGTATCTCTCAAAAGCAACAGCCATACTTCGAAAAGTACCCCTGCATATCTTAAAAAAATTAAACCTGATACAGGTATTGCATATACACTTTTTCAACGTATTATTGGAAAAATCCATGACGTTTCACTTATGGACTATTGTACCAATGGTTTCTTAAAAATAGCTCTTTCTATACTCAAACCCGCCAGGATAGATGGACTCTGTAAAGTATTGGGAGACGAATGGAAATCAATACGCTTGAAAATATTACGAAATCCCTTTTGTCATAGAAATCACGATGCAGACTCAGAACTTGATAAAAGGCTATCAGATCGATCATTTTAAAACAATAATCTTCACATTTTAAACAATAGTTAAAGGGCCCCTAAATCGTTCTAAATATAGGAAAACACGCTCTGTGTATCTGTGAAGTAAAAATAAATTTGGGGTAACCCTGGTGCCAACACGGCGTTTTAAAAAGTAGGGATGTAATAATAAGGAAGAATCATTAATTCTTTTTTATCAGCACTTATCATACGCAACGATTATGTAACACTACTATAATTGCCATATTTAACATAATTCATATATGATAATTTACTGAATGATTGATATAATAACCTAGTCTGTGTATTTTTAACAGATGCTTTTAATTTTCTAGCTAATTTAGGAACTTATTATATACTTTTTATCTTTTCCAGCTAACTCCGAAAATTTTAAATCTGACTCACAGGAGGAAACTTTCGTGTTGTGCTCAATGAACAGTGTGTTTCCAAGTACATACAGATGAGATCAAAGTTACAGTTAACGTATTCATGATATAGATTTGCACTTAATGTGATCTAACTCTTGCAAAGACTGTGCATAGTCAAAATGGAAAAAAATAACTATTATTTTTTTGTTTTCATGGTAACTGTTGTTAGAAAATAAGCTTTAAGAGAATTGTTTGCGTTGGAAATAAAAGAAATTGCTTTAAATACTGAAATGATAATGAAAAACATCATTATTTTGAATATGTACAGGTAAGGATTTGGAGGACCATATCACATCCATCAATTATGTTTCACTGATAAACTTCAGTGACATACGTTTTAATCTTTTGAAAATATTTCAAGCGTAAAAGCATACTATAAGGTATCGTATTACATTTTACTTTGTGATTTCACTATGTATTTTAATATGAGTGTGTTAAAGTTAAAACGGCAGCAGAGTGCAGTAAAAATAGCAGATAATACTTTGTATCTTTCTAAATGTAGTGTAAGGTATACTCAAATGAACCCCAACCAAAACTGTTTTATTATATCCTACTACTTTAAAATCATAACTGATGGAGAATTTTTATTGTGATGCTCAACTTTAATTCAGTAAAATGTAACGTATTTTGTGAAATTGCCTGCAATCTAGTTCAAACTTAATTTCCACCTCAGAAAATTCTCAAGTTCACAGAGGAAGGAAAATATTAGAAACTGTTCTCTAACAATAATCTAGATGGAATTATTGTTGCCTTACAGATTTTTCATTTAAGTAATGGCACTAACTCATGACCTTTAAGAGCAAGATTTAGCGAGAATTCAGAAAAGGTAAAAGAGTAACTTCCGTTTCTTGAAGAATTGCAATCACCTTATTTTATTCATTTTTAGAATGGCTTAACATTAGGTAACAGCTTACAAATAGCCTTTGAAAAATGACATTTATATCAAAAGCTATTATATGAAACCTTGAACTAAAAATTGAAGATAGTAAATGGTAATATGAAGCAGATGATGACTTTTAAATCTAGAGGTAGATTCAAATAAAACCTTCGAGTAACTGTCGGAGGAATAGCTTTATAGGCCCATTTAGAGAAGAGTGATTTAAAAAAAAAACTAATTTTCTCTACAGACTTAATGGAAAAGCATAAAATAAGTTTTAGTTGTAAAGATACAAACTACGATTTCTCGAAAAATATCCACTAATACGAATCATATTACTACTTTTAATTCCTGGAAAAATAATTCCTGGAAAAATATCGACTAAAATAAATCATATTAGTACTTTTTATGTAAGGAAGTCTCTGCAAATTACTTTTTCCACTTTGGGATTTAATGAATTGGGTTTCAACAATTTCGTTTTCTTTTTGATTGAAAAAAGGAGTTTTTCAATATCCCAAGAAATGGGATTTAAGAGAGTTTAAGACTGTGTTGATAAATATAACTTTTACGATATGAAATAGGTATAAAAACAAATTAATAAAGCATCCGTAATATTCAAAATTGAAAGATAATGAATATTAAAAGCAATCGATATACATATTAGTTCATATCTTTAAGTAGCACATCATAAATAGAGTTCAGAGCTTTTATATTCGCAGGAGCATGATTTTGTTAATATCGTAACTGTAAATGATGGAATGCCTAACCGGCCTATTAGACCCGATATAATATCAGAAATATCCCTGATTAACTAAATACAATGCATGTTAATAAAATAGAATATCCATGGTTACTTTGTGAAGGATTTTCTATACTTTTATTTTCTTTGAATATACTGAATAATGTCTTCATTTTTAACAATAAAATTTATGTAAATTTTAACATCAGTTAATAAAGCTTTATGTGGCAATTTCTCGGAAGAAAAGATCTTAGTTATGCTTATTGATGAAACTGGTAAGCACTATCATCAGAATTCATACAGAAAGAATAATAACTAACTTATTATATGTGAAGCAATGTGTTTATTTTCTATTTCATTTCCTTGTAAGATTTATTATTAGGATTCAAATTTATAAGTTTACGCTTTGCTGAATTCAGACTCAGCAGACTTTGCGACATTTTCAATAACGGCTGTATAAACTTATACACTTGCATATCAAGTCATATCTTCCGTCTCGAAAAGTAAAATTACAAAACTTCCTAAATTTCGGCAGATGTAAATTGCTTTTACTTTAGCCTTCTCTGTGTCAAAAGACGTTCAGCATAAGAAAGGAAGAGAAAACAAAGCTACGGCACTCGACTTGTATTATAGATTAAGCGGTATAGTCTATCTTCTGAGGTTGTCTTTACCTTCCTAAATTTATTCAAGGTTAAGTCAAGCATAATACCTGAGAAATTTGTTGATGTTCCTTCCATGTGACCAACTACAAGCACAGATATGTCGATTACAAAATTCAAACTTCCTAAATTCAAATCTTGAAGTCACACGTTTCGGACAGTAGCTAGTCACTATATAGACGGAAGGCTACGCAGTGCCAAGGTCCTATCAAATTTAACTTTAATTTGATTAAATTAACTTAATTAACACAAATCTTTGTTGAACATTAATATAATGAATTTATGGCTCGCCTTACCACAATCTTAAAGTTACAGGTTTTACTGATACCATCAGATTGAAGGCTTTCCGTTTTGAGTCTAAATATGCAGTATTATCTGCACAAATCTGTCCTGTACTTTGCTGCCCAAGTTTGTAAATGCGCCAGGCCTTAAAACCGTATTTTTTGAAGCTAAAACTTCAGAACTGCAATGCAGCACAAAGTTACCCAGCAATGCTTTCAAGAAATTAGGAAAGGTATAATACGTGAACGTCTGTATCAATCAGACATCTGATCAACTTGTGAACATTGTGCTTTCGTGCGGATTGCTTTGGAATTTAATATTTTAATGATGGTGAACTATTGTATTGGTTGTGACTAATAATGTGAAATTTTTTCTTGTGTCCGCATGTATTCATTATTAGTACCAGCTACAACCTTCCAGTTGCAATAGTGTTCTGTCATACTAGTGGTGGAGATGAGAAAAATCTTTTAGTCTCAAAGTTTCGTTTAAGACAGATATCAAGTAAGAAGGCTTGTATTTCTTTCTTTGTTTTTCTTTTTGTTTCTAATATGTGTGTTCTGTAATGTGACCTGGTATTGAAAAGTTTTGTATGTTGGACTTTATTAAAATCTTAAATAATACAGATGTCTTGTTTCTTTCATTTTTCAAAAGAGAATATCTAAGAAATCAGATCTTTTGTCATTAACACATAAAATATATAGAGCTGTATAAAAAGCAATTTTTAGTGAACAAAATCATAGACATATAATTTGAAATAAACGTATAAGTTTTTATAGCAAAAGCAAATTTACATTTCCTGAGCTAAGAACAGAAACGTAAGATGGTTGAAACTTTGGCAGTTGTTAAAGTTATAATTCCCTTTGTGGAGATTTATTTAATTTAGCTAACAGTTAAGTTTTATTTTAAAGCAACTTTACTTTGATCCTCTTTTTCGCCTGCGCTTTCTTGCCAGAATGTTAATAAGCTAGCGCGTGTGTATTTAAATGCGATAGAAAAAAATAGTATTTAATAACCTAGCGCGTGTGTATTTAAATGCGATAGAAAAAAGTAATATTTAAGGCAAAGTTTTGAAAGGTAATTTTAAATTGCCATCTTCTATCCTGTCCTCCTGGACTTAGTGTGCTGCACTCATTCTACGTAAAGCGCCCTTCTATGGCACACGAAGTTCTTACAGCCGGAACAGCATGAACTTTTCATGCTAATCTCAGCATACAGCGGAAGTTGGAGTTCGTGATTTTAGAGAGCGTGTTATGCCTGCTTGAAGGCCATGTTGCTATCTTGAATTATTAGTGATTAGATTTCTGGTGGCGTTGAGCACTTCTAGCCATTATGCTTGTTTACATCGACTTACACGAGTCAGATCCTTCCTGCTTGTTGAATTATCCTGCTAGTCGTTAGGCTAAACCTACTATATTTTATTTTAAGTTCATCGTTACTTATTTTGAGTTAAGCCAGAAGTATTAGCGTATACGCTTAAGTGGAGTCGTCTGTGAAAATATAATGAGTGAATAAAGGGTTTCATACACCCTTCTTCTGATTTTTTGTCGTACTAAGACCTGAGGATAATTCCTTATATAATCTTTTAGGTCTCGTAGTTTATGCTACCAAAGAAAGCGAGACTCAAACTTAGTTATAATAAACATTAACTGCTTCCATCTAAGTCTTAATTAACAGTATTACAATTTATCATAAAAACAATTTTTAAATGAATATGTACGAATTATTATTTAAATTGATTAGTTATTTATAATTTCAGCCTTTACCATTAATTTCTCTTTTCTGTTTCTTCACCAGAATGTAAATTGACCTAGGGTATATTTAATCTGAGATTTTTTGAATTGTTAGACAGAGCGTGTTTCTGCCACTCGAGGCGCAAGTTGTTTCTGACTGAAGGTCGATGTAACAAGTCTAATGTCTAGTACAGGGATGGGCCACTTCCGGCCCTCTGGAAGGTTTCATTTGGCCCGCGGAGAGAATTTTAATTTCCGGTCCGAGGCAAATTAGAAGAAATATATATTTATATATTATATATCCATCTCCTTTTCTACTTTGTTTAAATATTATTTTTCTTTCTTTTTTTTCAAAGGACTGATGATCTTTTTTTCTCTATTTTTGTTCTACAAAACGTAATTTGACGGAAATAGCAAGCACAGACAGTTTTCAATTGGTAAAGTGTTAACAGGGGAAGTTCTTTGTTAGTTATAACTGTAGATTGGCGCCAACAAGCGTTGTCTCTTTCTCGGGGAGCAGACATATGGGAATCCAATTATAGGTGAATTAGACCTCTTAGAAAAATCTTAATCTTAATTTAATTATCTTAACTTAAAACTTAATGAAACTTAATCTGTTTGCTGGGCAGCTAGCTTTTCTCATTCCCCGAGGTTAAATTCAAAACCTTCAATAAATGAAGAGAAGCTTAAGAATTATGAAGATGGCTTGAAAAAACTACATTTTGAGTTCGAACGAAGATTTCAAAATTTCAGTGCCATTCAAATAGAATTGGATTTTCTTACCGTGCCTTTGAACGTAAATTATGAAACAGTGACGTCAGATTTGCAGCTTGAATTAATTGATTTGCAATCTAACAATCATCTCAAGCTGTTTCTAAATATACCAAAGTTAGAGTTTTACAAATCATTATCGAAAGTAAGTTTCCCAAATTTAATAGCTTACCAGCGGCCGAGCGGTAAAGTCGCTGAACACTGGTAGTTCAGTCCGAGGTTCGAATCCCACGAACGGGCTGGCTGCATGGGCGTTTTCGTGGTTTTCCCCATGTGTAACTTGTATATCAGTTTCCCTCAGAAAGTCCTCCACGAAGGCATTCCTCCCCTTAGGCAGATAGCCCTAGAGGCTTTGCCATAATCACACACACACACACACAAATTTAATATCTCACGCCCAGAAATTCAGTGCTATGTTTGCTTCATCTTAAATATGTGAACAAGTGTTTTCAACCATAAACCTTAGAAAAAAAATTTTTCTGAAGTAGACTGACAGATGAGCATTTAGCTTCGTTCCTTAGAATCAGTACATCTCACTTCGAACGTCAATATAAGGAACTTTTAAAAATGAAATCGCAATTTCATTTATCTCATTAACATGGTTAAATTGTAATAATTGTATATTGTTTTTAAAATTTTAGAAAAATTTATCTTGGCCCCACAAACTTTTTTTTTTTTTTTTTTTTTTTTTTGATTTTTGGCTCGCGACCGAAAATGTTTGCCCATCCGTGGTCTAGAACAGCGCAACGCCGCAGAATACTACTCTCAAGAAAATCAAATTAGCAACCTGACCTTCAGCAGGCAGAACACGCTCGGATGCTCTAAAACCTTCCTTTAAATACTATCTTCTTTCTACCTCATTTGGATATCACGCGAGCTATAAATTTACATTCTGGAAGGAAAATGGAAATGATGAGAATGGGAAAGCGGTTTAATATAAAATAACTACTTAAAAATAAAACGATACCGTACAACCCAAAATCTGAAAAATAACGAATTTAAATCATTTTAATGAGCATTCTGAATTTCAAGCGTTGGCTGGTAAATTAATTTAAAAATAAATTTTGACTATAATATCGAACAATATTAATATCGCGATATTTAATTTCAATCTATATTTTATAGTCAAACTTAAATTATATAAATTACTTTTTTGACAAAAGAAAACTGATGCAGGTCTTACCATACGAATTTGATACATAGAAAGTTGAAGCAATAAATTCTTTTGAATTATGTGACTTACAGGAAATTTACGTTGCATACGCAAGATAACCGAGCACAGTTTGGAAATACAATTAAGCAGTTTAATTCATTTATATTGTTTAAAAACAAATTTTCTGTTAACATTTAACAGAACAATAATGTCGTTAATGGTAACCTTAAATATTACTCATTACTCTCTGGATTATTTATTGAAGTTATTACAGTTCATCTGCGATAAGCTGGCCTATGACATTCGAGATGTTCATTTTTAAGTATGGGCTGCTAGGTCAGAAATGTTAAAAACAGCTGATGCTTGGCAACCGTACTTTTCCCCAAACGATTCTTTTGATTATAACTATTACATTTACCAATTATTATAACTTTATCATCAAATTCTGATCATATTTCTGACCAAAAAACGGGCTAATAGGGCTTCAGCAACCAGGAAACCACTGTGATTATGTTACCAGTGAAACATTGCCTCTCGCCGTTTTTGAAAAATGGATTCTGTTGAAATCAGATGACTCAAACGTCTTCTTCTCAAAGTCGAACTACAGCCAACATAGATTTTTTAAAACATATTACACTTATTTCCCTACATTATGCGTGATTAACAGTTCAGTACCCAACAAAACGCTGTTCACAATATCCGCCTGCTCTTAAGGCTTATGTTTATTGCAAAAACTATTTACCAGCAGATAGATAAGATAATAATAGGGCAGAACATCATTACTGTGGCTTTAGAGATAAACTTATAGTCTTAATAACACTGCTGTACTGTACGAAGATACTGAGAGGCAATAATGGTAGGAAAAGAGAAGTGTATGATATTAGAGTTGTGACACTAGAAAGAAATATAAAATCCTAAAATACTGCTACAGGGAAGGTAGGTAGTAATCATATCTACACTCTTTTGCAAAAACCTCGAAGCACCAAGAAGGACTTTTGCGATCGTGACGAAATTTGATATGCAAAACCATCTTGATCAAAGATGCAAATGATCAAATTTTCAAGGCAAATGAACAGTAATTGCGATCATATCACGCATTTCTACTGAGCAATTCGTATAAGTATAAAACCAGTAACAGAGGCGGAAATTTATCTTTTTTTGTTGCTGCCATTGTAATTCCTTAAAGAAGCAATTTCGGCGATATCGAAGACCCTACAGACAACTAAACGACTTGGAACCTGGTCGCATTGTAGGGTTGCGTGAAGTTGGGTGGTCACACCGAGCAATAGGCAGCCACCTGCAGCGTTGCTATGCAAAGGTGTTGGCAGCAATAGTTGCTACAAGGAAATTGCCGACGAAATGAAGGCTCTGGAAGGCCAAGGAGTACAAATGCCAGGCAAGATAGGATGATTATTTGCCAGGCCCGAACCGTCCCGACGGTATCATTGTCGACTATTCAATGCACTACAGCCACGCCTATACCTCCGTGGTACCGTCCACCATCTCATGGCGATTGTCTGAGGCGGGGTTACGCTCACAGAATACTTTGAGACGTTTGCCTTTGACCCCACAAATCGGCGGAGTCGTTTGGAGTGATGTCGCAGCCGATCATCATGGCTATCATCAGACTGGTATCGTATAGTGTTCAACGATGAATCCCGCTTCACTCTTGAAGCAGATGACCACCGTATCTGGATAGGACTGGGCCAGCGGTCCCAATCAGCCTTTGTTTCACAAAAGCATATAGCCAATAACCCCCTGGTGTGATGGTGTGGGGCGCTATTTCTTATGACAGCAGGTTATCTTTAGTCATCCTCCGTACATCTTTAATAGCTCAACGATATGTTGATACCCATCCTGCGGCCGGTTGCATTAACCTTCATGGCACGTCATCCTGGGGCCATTTCCCAACAAGATAATGCCAGGTCACATACCGCTCGCATATCTCTGGACTGTCTCC